GTACATAATTTACAGAATTTTATTATATATTGTTTGGACATAGTTATTTTTCTTGGACACAATATTTGCTGTCCATGTAATGGACGGTCCATGGACAGTCCATGTCCACGTCCATGTCCATGTCCATTGACAACACTGGTCCATTCGTAAAAGTAGCCCCTCATGTTAATTAAGCTATTGATGTATTCTATCATAACAGCTTCAGCATTAACTTTTTGGATGGCATTGAAAAACGATGTGATTTCTGACAAACCGAACTTATATTTTCTGAGACTTTGAAATATCCTTTCCTTGATCGCATTAAATGCACTAGCCACGTTTTCCGAAAATTTTCTAGAAGCCACATGACTTCTTAATTGTTGGAACCTCTGAATCATCAATATAATTCAAATTGATGTTAAAAGAAAATATTTGATATAGATATTCAATATTTGATGTATAGAATGTTGTTAATCAGTAAATCTATTTTTCAAAATTGATTTAGAATAACGATCATATTCTTTGGAAGTGAAATATTGAAACTATTAAGATTACTAATTTCTTTAATCAAATTCTGGATGCTTGAAGTATTAGTGGCTTGTAACTTTGCTGCAACACCAAAGTCAATAATGGATCTTAACATTTTTGATGGACCGCATAAATAATCCTTTATTCTATGCGTTCAAACGGGTTCCATTGTCAATGGAGCTTTGATATGTTATTTGAATATTTTTTCATTCACTTTTGTGACAATACAATTTGAATATTTTTATGTTCATTTTTTCTTGAATTATTTAAAGGTATTGTAGAACCATTTTTTTAAGAGAAGACTCTTTCTTTAATTTAGGCTTCGGTAAGGTCTTGTATCTTATCTATCAATTCTTGGTTTCTTTTTTGTTTTGATGCTTATATTGATCAATTACTCTCTATTCAAAGAAAGAGTAACTGTTCATTTTGATGAGCTGACTCTACCATGTGCAGAGTTCTTAACCTTGCGGCAAGCACAACCTTGATTATTCATCTTATAATTTTTAATAACGTTCTTTTGTTAGCTAGTATTGCTTAATGTTGACCCAGATCGAATGAATTTCGATCTGAAATCTTGGGAATTGCTCTGTTATTAAAAGTTCCAGCTTAATCGTCAATTGAGATCGCAGTTACATGATATTCCGACTTTACAATTCTCTGGAAATTTTGAATTTTCAAATTTATTTTCCGTGCTTCTAATATAATTTTTTTTGGAGAGGAAATGTTTTATAAGATACAAAGTTACTGCCGCTAAATTAGAATACCATAGAGTCCCGAATATAAGCAACCCTAAGTCAACCAATTTGCTGTTTTTTTTTTTAATAAAAAAAAGTTTATCATTTAAAAATTGAGGTATTGTGGATTGCATATACGTATTCGGGACTTTGCAGTAAATAGTTAAACATGTTAAAATGATCTATGAACCTTGAAAAAATTGTATAGATGACGTCGAATTATCGAATATACAAAGTTTACACTTTATAACATAAATTTAACATTTCACTGATCGTTATGTTCAGCGCTCATTATAAAGTAAGCTGTTAATGTAATTGGATTTACAAACGAATCTGCATTCATGAAGCAAATTAAAATTTTATAAAAGAATGAAACTATAAAAGATTGTAGATTCCTAAAATATACTCGCGAGCTAACTAAGTTTTAAAATATTTAGTATTTACTCGATATAAAAATAGTGGTTTTTTCCCAACCTGGGGACTTCACTAGAACGTGAATGTGTTATAATCATTTGTTTATCGAGTTTTCTTGTATTTCTACACAAGTGACCACCAAATATGAATAACAAACAAATGAAAAAAACGTAACATTTAACCTTATAATGAACTGATAGTTCATATACGTAGCAAAAAATCCTTAAAAGCTCCTATATAGAAATAATTATTCATGTTCCTATACCGAATTCTAATAAAGATCTTTATAAAAAGTGTATCAAGGTCAGATTATCATGTGACTGCGCCCTCAAAATGATGATTACGAAGGATTTGCTCTGTCATTGTTCCTAAAAAAAAAAAACCGGATTTATTGGTTTTACAGATAAATCAGTGTTATTACGTACAGTATTTATGCAGTAGTACATATAAAAAAATTTTGCATAACAAATTTTTTAAACGGATAACCGAAAACTTTTTATTTTATCAACCGCTAACCACTACTTAACACAATGGATGTCTTAATTCCTAATAATTATGTCAAAATTACTGGCGGTAAAGATTTAGAAATTACTACAGGTATTCCTTGTAGGATAACAAATGAAGGACGTTATTTAGATACCAAAGGAGAAAATCACGGTTCATATGTTACTTTATGTTGGTATCCTTATGACCGAAATGATTCCAATTATTCAAGACAAATATGAGTTATTGTAGAATCAACAAATTTTGGAGAATATAGAATTTTTAATAATGGATATTATTTAGATACTTTTGGAGGAAAAAATGAATCAGAATGTTGTATGAGTTATGAGAATCATCGCAATAGTCATACTTATTATTCAAGGCAACTGTGGTCTTTTTTAAATCAAAATGAAACTGAATCTAAACAAGTACAAATAAAAAGCCTTTCAAATAAATGTTATTTAGATAGTTGGGGTGGGAATGGTAAATATTCAAATGTTCGTTTATGCTCTTACTGTAACAAACCAAGTGAAAAAAATTATCCACGTCAATTATGGGAAATTGAAATTGCAGATTATAAACTCAAAGCTGAAATTGAAGACTTTAAATATGACAAAAAGATTAATAATTTAAAATCATATGCAACTAAAGTTTCTTCTACTATTTTTACATCAAGAAATCAATCGCATAGTGGTCCTTGTAAGGTAGAAATTAATCTATCTGAGAAGGCGCATAATATCACATCTTGGTCTTTTAATAAAAGCAAGGAGATAACTTTTTTAGATGAACTTGATGTCGATATAAAGGCAGAATATGCAGGAGTTAAAGGAAATTTACCTGAAATTATAAAGTGGGATAATAAAATCACATCTTCAGAAACTATTAAAAAAATCCAATTAGACGAAACTAATGTTTCTGGGAAATATTCAATGGAAATTCAAAATAAAGAAGAGGTTGAGGTTAAAATAATTTGGCACAAGATTAATTTAGATGTTCAATTTACTGCAACGGCAAAAATTAAGGGATTTTCTGATCGTTTAAGGAAAAATGGATCTGTAGCAAAAATGGAACAAACAGATGCTAATGCTACATTATGCTTCTTAAAAAATTCTGGTTTCGAAGGAACAATTATTGGCACAGAAGGAAAAAATGTTTTAGTTGAAATTACTGGAAATGTTAATATTCAAGGTGCGGTAAAATATGAAATAGAAAAGTCCAATGTCCTCCTTTCCATTTAAATACTGTAGATTGGTGACTACATACTTGTCTAATATGGCGGCGGTACTGCTATAGTATGAGAAAGCTTTCGATGATCCAATTATTGTTATATTTTACCTTTTTTTATTTAGTTTATATTTATTTTCTTATTCGTATTTCTATTTAATGATCATGGTTAAGTTTAAAATTAATGAAATTGTTTGCTTTAGATCAATTTTTTCGAGTTACTGTATTTGTAATTTCGAAATGTAGCCTAAATTAAACCTAATTTGAGCCAAAATTCGAAATTACATCCTTCTGCGCGTTATTCCGCGAAAATACGGTAAGAAGACAAAGTGAAATTCATTCAAACTTTACTTCATGAATCTTAGGAAAGTCCAGCTATCGGTTTAACTGATCCAAATTTAGGTTCAACAATCAGAAATTAAATTAGGTTAAATGTTTGGATACTGACATCCTGATTTAAATGGTCATGACAAAAAGAATAAATTATCTTTTAGAAAATAAACGCTATTCTCAAAAACAAACATATAACATTATAAATAAAATAAAACATCATGTGCTTTTTTAAAATGCAAGAACTTATACGTTCGAACAAATAGTCATAGGAAATGAGGTTAAAAGAAAACTCAAAAAAAGTCTGATAACTAAAGAATAGAAAACAAATAAGGAAAAAGAAAAGCTCATTGCAATTGTAATCATCATTTAGAATAACAAAATGTACGTGTGTCGGTTAATTGCCAGTAAAATAAAATAAAATAATACGAACACCAAAATTAAGCACTTATATAACAAATGAGCAATGTAGTGATTTAAGCGAAACCTTTTTGCTTATATATTATATTGAAATTTATTTAATATTACTTATTTTTTATGAATAAGGGTATTCAATTAACATTTAATATAATTTAATTCTATATTCATAAACTTAACGACACGCACAATTTGCAAAATTGCCATAACGATAAATATAATTCTATAATTGAGAGGTGCATAAAAAAAATCATTTTGTGCTTATGAGATTTACATTTATCCCTTATACAATTCTTGCGAGCAAATTTGTACGCTATTAGAGAAAGCATCATATTGCATTAAGTGAATTCGCCGACACTGCGAATACTACAGTATATTTAATTATATACACCTATGAATACATAAATTGCTAATATGCATATTCATTTTATTTTGCACCTTATTATTTAACCTTATATTATCACAAACAACGAATATATGTTACGAGTCAAGTTGGTTTTAGGTTGAGTTAACTTGACACTGGTCAAAATGATCCCAGAAGAATTTTAGGATTAGTGTGGTCAGAATTATGTTTATGCTGGCCGGGTTTTTAATTGATTAATTTGACCCGGGTCAAGTTTAACTCAACCTAAAAACCAATTTGACTCGTAATAAACATATACAATATAAAAAGTTTAAACTCCAAATAAGTTTTATTTTTACTAAGCATTTAACTATCACAAGTAAGAAAATATAACCAATCATAAAACCTTATTAAATTACTATCCAATTTCATGTGATAAATCAATCGTGAGAAAGTTACCCCATAGCCTGCATTCTGCAAAATTCTAGTTAATTAAGATAGATTCCGACGTAATGTTTTAGCAATCGGAAATTTTCCGTTACTATCATCAGAATATATGTAACAAACTATATTCATAAAATAATTATATTTGTTAATATCTTCACTGCTAATCTAAAAATCCCGTTTAATATAAACATCGAAAAAAAATTCGGACACTTCATGTTTAATTTTGTGCCCTGGTCTGGTATCTACGTACGTACTTACTTTCGTTAGCTAATTTAAGATAGCTGTATGACGCTATCGCGCAAACAGGAACGTAGTATATCAATAATATTTGATGCAGATACACAGTGTATATAATTTTTTAATTGTAATGATTTCATGATAATACTAGAATTGTGTAAAATCTCAAATTGTTTCCATACCCTGCTTAAAAGAAATATTAATTGAAAATCATTTATATTATAGACTGTACATAGAATTTTATGTTGTGGTTATGATTACGCAGAATTTTGAGAGGTAGCAATGTGTGATTTCTATTAATGATTTACACTCCTTTTTAAAGACACATACCGGATGTTTGATAAGTTCCTATACAGGTACCTTTTTGTTAACAACTTTGATTATTAGATAAATAGAAAGGTCCCGTCTAGAAACTTATCAAATAGCCAGTATATCAGCGCTCTAAGTCTCTTTTTTATTAAGTTGGTTCCAACGAGTGTCAAAGTTTCGAAAAATGTTATATAGTGTCAGGTAACTGTACTACTATACAGACTGGAGGAAATCTCCTGGCCAGCATACTTTAGAAATCTTTCTAAGAATGAACGGCAAAATGATCGATTGAAAGGAAACAAACACCCAATTTTGCCATCATCAATTTAACCGACATCACCCGGGTGGTAATTTACTATCAATATGTTTAACCCATGAGGTGACGATTTGATAGCATTATAGATTAGTAACTTAAATGTCGCTGCATGATATTGGGTATATAACCTATAGGGGGAAAGAATTCTGCAGTACATAAATTTGCTCCCATTAAAAATAATTTGTTATATTGTATTTGATTTTAAAGAGTGATCAAAGTCACATTTATCTATAGAAACAATAGGCAAAAATATTTTTATCGTGTGTAAATTTATGCATTAAGAATACTCTATGTCAGGGAAATGAGTTTATACTGTTTCACTACATAAATCGGTGTCTTAGCGTCATAAGAATTTTGAATAACAAATTCTTTTAAAAGCTGACTTATAGAAAATATTTCAATCGTTATTCACAACTTTACAGTCATTGACATACACCTCTGTACTTTACAAATGGATGCATTAATTCCTAATAATTATGTACATATTACTGGTGGTAAAGATTTGGAAATTACTACAGGTATTCCATGTAAGATAACAAACGAGGGGCATTATTTAGATAACGGAGGAGGAACTTATGGATCGTATGTTACTCTACGTGGAAATTCTTATGACCGAAATGATCCCAATTATTCAAGGCAAATATGGTTTATTGTAGAATCAACAAATTTTGGAAAATACAGAATTTCCAGTAATGGAAATTATTTAGATACTTTTGGAGGAGCAAATGCATCAGAATGTCGTATGAGTTATGAGAATCATTGTGATAATCCTTATTATTCAAGGCAGCTATGGACTTTTTTAAATCAAAATATTTCTGAATCTGAAAAAGTACAAATACAAAACCTTTCGAATAAATGTTACTTAGATAATTGGGCTAATCAATATTCAATTGTTCGTTTTTCTTCTTATTTTAACAAACCAACTGATTCTTTTTATTCAAGGCAGTTGTGGAAATTCGAAATTGCTGATTATAAACTTAAAGCTGAAATTGAAGCATTTAAATATGACAAGAAGATTAATAATTTAGATTCATATGCAACTAAAGTTTCTTCTACTATTTTTGCTTCAAGAAATCAATCACATAGTGGTTCTTGTAAGATAGAACTTACTTTATCCGAGAAAACGCATAATATCACAACTTGGTCTTTTAATAAAAGCAAGGAGATAACTTTTTTGAATAAACTTGATGTTGATATAAAAGCAGAATATGCAGGAGTTAAAGGAAATTTACCTGAAGTTATAGAGTGGGATAATAAAACCACATCTTTAGAAACTATTAAAAAAATCAAATTAGACGAAACTAATGTTTCTGGAAAGTATTCAATAGTGATTCAAAATAAAGAAGAGGTTGAAGTTAAAATAATTTGGCACAAGATTAATTTAGATATTCAATTTACTGCAACGGCAAAAATTAAGGGCTTTTCAGATCGTCTAAGAAAAAATGGTTCTATAGCAAAAATGGAACAAGTAGATGTCAATGCTTTATTATGTTTCTTGAGTAATTCTGGCTTTGAAGGAACGATTATTGGTACAGAAGGAAATAATATTTTAGCTGAAATTACTGGAAATGTTAATATTCAGGGTGCATTAAAATATGAAATAGAAAAGTCTAGCAATTTTCTTTCCAGCTCAAAACTATAGTTGATGACCATGTACTTGTCCAAATATTATATTTCACTTTTTTATTTAATTAGTTTCTTATTCGTTCATTCATTATTCCTATATTATAATCTAAAACATATTACTTGAGGCATTAAAATAAATCATAATCAATTTGAATTTTAATGAAACGATCTGCTTTAGGTCAATTTATCAATCTTTATTTATTATTAAACGTAATTTACTGGAGCCAAAAAGCAAAGTGCCCGAATTTAAGTTCAATAATTAGAAATTAAACCTAAATTAGGTTCAACATTTGAATACTGACACCTTGATTTAAATCATAACCAGGGCTTAAAATACTATAGTAATTTGTCGGCCTGAAACCTATTGTTTGAAGTGTTTTTCTTGATTTATCAAAATCAGTGTATTGTTCTAATATATTGTAGATCAAGAATGACACTTTTGAATGGCCGGCATTTCAATATAGTCGTTTAAATCCTGAAACTGGGTTAAGGTTAGGGCAGGTTTAATGCTTTGAAGGTACATATACCAAATCGTGCAAGGGTTATGACGCAAAAGATGGTTTCATATACAAAAGTTTCATGATTTTTTAAACAAACAATTGTTTTTTTCTGATTATTCAACTGATTGGCTGGCCATCCGTTTTCAAACCGATTTGGGGGTATATAGATGCACGCGCTTCGTACATTTGATAAATTATCATGTCAGAACAACAGGTACGTACGTACGTGCACACTAATTAGTCAATAAGCTTATTACTCATATACAGTATAAATATATTTTTACAAAAAGGTTAATCTTGCTTGCCTGCTAAAAGGCGACAATCCTCTTATTGGAAGTTTTTTTCATTGAAATTGAACAAAATAAAATTATTTATGAGCTTAAGAAGGAAATTAAAAGAATTTCTCATCGGCTTTCTAGTCGACTTTCTAGTGATGACCTTTCTGTGCTTGCACTCTGGAAAGTAAATATACCTATAAACCAGGGCAATGCACTTCAGCAATTCACATTTAATGAAGAGGACTGTCTTCACTCGATGAAAACGATCGATGAATGTTTTGATGGTAAAATTCCAGAGAGCTGTCTCCACATAGTATTCACGATTACATCCGGTATTTCAATATTCATAAGTACCCAATACTTTCGTGATAACCATAGATAAAAAATAACGATATTTTAATTCTTTTTATTTTCGCTGCTTTTTTAATTTAGTGTACACTAAAAGAGAGGATGTTCAATCTGATGTAATTCAATCATTTTGCAGAAGACTTAATTTCTTACCACTCGTTCAAAATCTGGAACAGGTTCTATTGATGGAATTGGATACGAAAATACCAATCCGTAGCCAAATTTATGATGAATGGAAAAAGCGAATTCCAGTGCTGGATAAATATTTTTGTAATGAGGATAAGGAAAATAAAACAGCAAATCAATTATCATCTAGGTGTGAATCAGCGATTTATCAGCTTGCTTTAACGAGTAAATACAATAATTTGATAAGTAATATTTGGGATGCATTGAAAAAGGTATGAAAGATAATTATTCTGAATCATGATTCTTTTCTATATAAATTAATATAAACGAATAATTTACAATAGGGTGTTGCTTATGTAATGGATAAGAATCCAACTGTTAAAGAATATACTGATGTAACTATAAAGAATATGCGGCCGGATCTTTTGGTTTGGATAAAAAATATTTTAGTATTTAAAGCAGAAGAAAAAGCAGAATATTCAAACTTTGATGGAGCACGGCAAGGATTATTAGAAAAAATGGGTAATTGGAATAATTCATTCTATGGTCCAGTTCCATATCTTTTATCATATGCGGCAGGAGGAAAAGCATTACAGTTCTTTGCAATAACTAATAAAAAGCAGTTGATACCGATTAGCTCTCAATATGACTTGACATCGCCATTAGGAGAATTTAGTGTAATATTAGAAATATTTATTTATTTATTTATATTTCAGAACTATACATTAATTAATTTTGGTCATAGGTTTTAATTTCATCATTTAACATATTTCGGCTACTGGCTACGATTCACGATTTTTTACCTGAATATGGTATTCCTTTATATAAGGAAATCAAACGGAACTATGATACATACATTACAATCTTATCTGAAGACACAGTTTTAAAGGAAATAAAAGGTTTTAACGAATATATGTAAGAAGCATCAAATTTGAATTTTGTGAAATATTGTTTTAAATATATCGTAAAATTTTTTGAATTCATTTAGCTTTAGCGATTTTGAAATTTTGAAAGAAGCCTATACAGCAATATCAAAATCTAAATATGCAGTATTTGCTAAAAGAGAGCCACAATTGAAAGCCAGTAGAGGTTTTAGTCAAACTTATTTTGTTCAGCTAACACCAGTCTGCCATAAACGTTTACCACATAATGAGAGGGAATTATGAGATGCTATTTCAGCAATACTCAATGTATTGAACTTTCTCCACGAAAGGGGTAATATTTGAATTTTGATTATGCTCCAGAAAAATATTGAATATCTTCTGAATTTCAGTTTTAATATCATTAGATCTGGTGCACCGAGATATACGTTGGGACAATGTATTAATGAGTAATGGTAATTGGTTACTGTCTGATTATGAGCACGTAGGGCGAAATAGATAATCATTAGTCAGAAAGTGCATATAATAGGTATGATTATTAATGTGATTTGTTTTTGGTTGGTAAATTATTTGATCAATTGTCATTTACTTTTTTCCTAAATGCACAAGAATTTTGTGACTATTTGAACAACAGAGATTTAATAATTATAATGAGGTTTTAGCTTATAATTGGTTTCAATATGACTTGAATTAGCAGAGATATAACTAATATTTTTATGCTTGTTATAAATATTTGCTATTGAAAATGCTTTAGTTTTGCCTTATTTGTATATTTAATAAAATCAAGTTAATAATAAATATATGTTAGTTTACAGATTTAAATAATTAGTTTTTACTAATTTTTGTAAAATAGAAAATCAAACTTTAAAGTTTTTTTATTACAATTTTTATTTCAAGATCAAAAAATAGATGTTTTAAATATTATATTAAATTTTTAATTGCACCTATTAATATACCAAACTAATTCTTTATAAAAAATATAAAAAATATAAATTTGCAACTTTTGATGACATATTTAAGCTCTACCTATTAATTAATATTTCAAAATTACACTGGTGTTATGGTAATGAATATTGATATTCTGTTAAAGCTATTCAAAGTACAAAAAAAAAGAAATCAAATTATGTATTAAAAATAATGAAGAAAATGATTTAATTAAGGTTTTATTAAGATTAATAATTGATGAATAGCTTTTTTATTTTTTTTAGAAATCAACTAAAATTTAATATTTTTAAAATTTTAAAAATTTTTTTATAATGTTTTTTTTATAATGTTTTTATTATAATGTTTTTTTTTATAATGTTTTTTTATAATGTTTTTTATAATGTTTTTTATAATGTTTTTTTTGTAAAGTTTTTTTTATAATGTTTTTTTATAATATTTTTTTATAATGTTTTTTTATAATGTTTTTTTGTAAAGTTTTTTCTATAATATTTTTATATTTTTTTATAATGTTTTTTTTTACAAAAAATTAAACCTAAATTTTTTATATTTTTTAAAAAAGATTAAAAGGTTTTTTTATACTAATTTTTTATAAAAAAATATAACTAAATTTTTTATATTTTTAAAGAGATTAAAATTTTCTTTTTATAATGGTTTTTTTACAAAAAAATATGATAAATGTTTTATATTTTTAAAAAAATTAAATTTTTTTATATAAAAATATTTTTAAAAAAATAAGAATAATTAAAAATTTATATTCTTAAAAATATTAGAATTCTGTTCTATGCTAAAACTAAATTTTTTAAATTTGTCTTTCATTCTTGTTATTATTATAATAATAAGACAAGCTGTATGCAATAAATTTTATAATGCTTTAGATGCTATAAATAAATACTTTTATACTCAAAATATTAAAAGATTGCCAAAAGGCTTCTAAAAATTAAGAGGCAAGCTATTCTTTACAAATAAAATAGAACATAGATAAATAGTTTTTTCTGAGTCATTGTTATATTAATAAGAAATATCAAAAAACATCAAACAATTCTTAATACCAAAAATATTTTTTTTAGAGAAATTGATTTATTGATAAGAAATTTATGTGTTAAGTTTTTTGTTAACAAAATACAAGTTCTTATATTGTTAAATAATTATCATTATGGCTACATCAAACAAATGGGTTGGGGCTGTTTCACCAACAATCATTCTTTTGACATATTAATTCACTGACAATCCCTTTACTGAAAAGTCATTTTCCTAACATCCTAATTTACCAACAATCCTTTTTTATCTACAAAATCATTTCACCAACAGTCATTTAACCGACAGTCATTTCACCAACAATAATTATTATTATGTATTTATCATAAAATACATAATAATAATTATTGTTGGTGAAATAACTGTTCAGTGAAATGATGGTCAGTCAAATGACTGTCGGTGAAATGATTTTGTAAGTAAAAGAATTGTTGCTAAATTGGGATGTCAGGAAAATGACCTTTCGGTAAAGGGATTAATATGTCGGGAGAATGATTGTCGGTGAAATAGCCCCAACCCAAACAAATATATTAGTAATGTTAGTAAATTTTTAAATTTTTGTATAAAATTTAATCAAGTTAAATTTGAAAATTTTCTTTTTATAAACATTCAGGCTTTTGGTATTTTTAATAAGTAAAGCAATTTATTTACTAAATATTTTGAAGATAAACCATCTAATGAATAGTTTAAAAAAGGTTATATAACTTGAATACTTGAACATATGAAAACTGTAAATATCAGCAGCTTGAGTAAACTGTTCACCTTTCAAAACCTCAGGTGCTAAATATGGTAAAACACTGTAAATATGGCCATCCTGTTTTTATCAACCAATATTGACAAACCAATATCAATATAAGCCTCATAGTGTTCTTTTAGTAAAATATTACTAATATCGTATAATATTTTTAGTTTAATTTTCACTCCAATTTAAATATATCTTTAGGATTTTCACGTAATGATCCAAATCTTGCGTAATTTAACACTAAAATAAAATCTCCGGTATTTTTATCCATTGATATGCCGTTGTATTTATCAAATTCGTGATACGCCTTTAACTAAAAATAAATAAATTAGAAGCTTAACCAATTAATTAATAAACAATATAAATTTTATTCGTACAAAAACAAACCAGAATACCTCGTTTAAATTTTTTTTTGATTTTTATGCGAATATTTAAAGACCTTGATTGCAAATTCTTTATTCGTTTCATATAATGTTTTATACACTACGGAGAATCCATTTCTACCTATTTCTTCAATGCTTCTAAAATTATCGTATTCTATCCAACGGAAATATTTATGATTATGGGATTCATGGTTAGTAACAGCAGATTTCAAATACCATTCAAAAGCTAAATCTTTATTCTTTTCTATGCCAATTCCTTTTTGATAGCGCAATCCAATATGATGCATTCCACAACAACTTCCATATTCGGTACTTTTTAAATAATATTCGAAGGCCTTTTGTGTAACCTTTTCAACAACAATTCCATAATTATAACAATATCCAACATTTAATATCCCACTAGTGCTACCCATCTCTGCAGATTTTTGAAAATAAATGAATGCTTTATGTTCATCTTTTTCAACTCCAAATCCCTTAAAATAACAATATCCAACGTTATTTGTTCCACTTGCGTCCCCCATCTTAGCTGATTTTTGAAAATGAATGAATGCCTTATGTTGATCTATGCTAACTCCAATCCTTCAAGATAACAATTACCAACTTCACTCATTCCTTTAGCATCCCCCATCTCTGCAGATTTTTGAAAATAAATGAATGCCTTATATTCATCCTTTTCAATCCATTACCATAAAGATAACAATTTGCAAGAATGATTTGAACCCTAGGATCGAATTGGTTTTCTAAGCAATATTTGATAATCTTATCCGGATTTTGCCTTTTTTTTACTAAGAAATTGTTCTAATGCGTCAATAATTGGAGGATTAATTTGCCTTTAAAATTTCTTCGATAATTGAATTATACATTTCTTTAATAATTTCATTAAGAAAATTCTGTTATTTATCTTCTAAATACAATTGGTTAACTTTGTTGGATATTTTGGCAACATCTATTTGATTGTCGATTTTTTCGGGTTGCTTTATAATTGACATTTTGACGCAATGAAAGATTATGTTACATTTAGGCTTATCAATTTTAAGAAATATGCATGCATAACGTTCATTTTGCATTATAATCATCACATATTGACCCCAATCACATATGCATTGTAACACTATTCGCCTACATTTTAAATAGGTACGAACATACATATTTTTCGGTTTTACAAAAAGTTATGGCAAACACACAAGAAGAATGGCTTGAAAAAGCTATTTTAGAGGGACATATTAATTATCTTGAATATAATAAATTTACAGAGCCCACAATCATTGGTATCGGAGGCTTTGGAAAGGTTTTTAAATATGAGTGGAAAGATTGTGATTTAACGGTTGCTCTTAAGTGTCTTAAAATCGATACCAATGTAGATGAAAAAGTTTGTAAAGATTTTATTCATGAGGTATTTATTATATTAAAATTTAAATTACTTCCTGGTATAATATATTAATTTTTTTAACAATAATCTGAATCAAAGCTCAAACTTTTACGACAAGTTCATCACCATCCAAATATTATTAAATTCTATGGAATCACTAAAGGTACATATATATTTTAATTTTTATAAATGTAAAACAATAAATTTTTTAATTTCTGTTAACATTAATTACAAATGAATAGACAATAATGGGCATTATAATATGGTCTTGCAATATGCTAATGACGGAAATTTACGAGATTATCTAAAAACGAATTTTGCAAGACTACAATGGGCCGATAAATTAGGGTTTGCGGAGGAAATAACGCGTGGTCTTTTGTTCTTACACAGTAATAATATTATTCATAGAGATCTTGTAAGTATATTATTTTGATACATCTGTTTTAACTACAACAATTAACGTTTTGATATATTTCATAGCATTCGAAAAATATTTTGATTCATCAAAAACAACCAAAAATCGCGGATTTTGGACTGTCAAAGCAAGTAAACGAGACGCCTATGACTTCAAGCTCGATTGTTCGTGGAATGCCGGCATACGTCGAACCTCGGTGCCTTTTTAAGCAAGGATATAAACGTGACAAGAAATCGGATATTTATAGCGTTGGAATAATTCTTTGGGAACTTTCGAGCGGAAAGCCGCCATTCCAACACTTAACAAATGCAATGATTGTTATTAACATTTTTCAAGGGAAAAGAGAAGAACATATAGAAGATACACCGCCTCAATATATTGAACTTTACAAACGATGTT